ATTTCTGCACGCGGTTGTGTAAGTAGGCGCAGTTTCAGTGGTTTACTGTATTTGTACAAGAATCTCTGATGTACAATTTCACACCCTCCACCCCCTTTTTCCTCCTCATCTTTCATTCTCAAAATGTAAACCTCACAGTTTGGTGCTTAAAATCAATAAGACAGCGTGTCTCTGTGTAACCCAACAACTCTCACAGTAATCAGGTCACATGTGCCTGTGTATAGATCTGTGCATTTAAGTCCTCTGATGAAATCTCAGGAAATATTGTCCATGTGTGATTTTTTTTTGTGTGGTATTTTTAGATAGAAACGCAGGGGAAAGCCATGTTTGTATACAGATTTTTTTGTTTTGTTTTGTTTCCGCTGTTGTCACTGAGTGCTCAAATTTGTAAGGTGCTCCACTGTGAGTATGAGATGTCATGTTTAGCTGCTCATCAACCTGGAGATCGTGTATATGTGTGTGTGTGTGTGTGTGTGTGTGTGTGTGTGTGTGTGTGTGTGTGTGTGTGTGTGTGTGTGTGGGTCTGAATGTGTGTAGATGTGGGTAAATGTGTGTGTGTAAGAGAGAGACTTGTCATTAGACCGAACATGAGCCTGGCCTGAGTGACCTAGTGATGAGCTTGGTGTTTTTGTTCCGGGCCAAAGCCGGCCTGGCCCAGGCTTAAATTTCACACACGCACACATGCACACACGCACACACACACAATTTAGCCAATTCCCCTGAGAAAGAGAAGAGGGAGAGGGAGATAGGGTGAGAGCATCATTTGTTTGGGGGAGAAATGTATTTTCATAATTTCTCTGTTTTCAGCCTCTCTTTGACAACAGACACACAACACATATAGCACACACGAACACACACACACACACACACATATATGTATATAGCCTATATGCATACTGGCTGTGTCAGCACACAGGAAGCTATAGCTAATACATAATTGATGAGTCTAGTCATTGATTACAAGTGATAAGTGGTATTGACAGGAGGTGTGAGGAGGAGAGAAAAAGTGTCAATGTGTAGGTTTATGTATGTGTGTGTTTTCCCAGTGGGCTGGAAAATGGCTTTAGAATATGTAATGGCTTCCGTAACACTTTGGCTTACTAGACAGTTCTGTAAGGGAAGTTTCCGCCTAATGAGTGAATCCACATGCAAAAAAATGTCTTAAAGTAGCTATTTGTAAGTCTTGCTATTGCTACATTGCCAACGTTAGCATTAACAGCTGTTTACTCACTAAGTCTAGAAGAAACGTTGCAAGTTCAGCATCAAACTTTATTCCTTTACTCGGCAAGTAATGTGTCCAGTGGTGGTAAGGAACTGTTTTGTTTTGTTTCTGCTGCAGTTAGCATGCTAACCAACTAGCCCTGACCCGTCTCCTCACTTTCCAGTAAAATAGTCACTATAGTGTCCAGTCTGCCCTGAAGATGTAGCACCGATCAGCGGACGCATTATAAACTTTTTTCTTGTAAAAGCAATGATGGCTGAGTATTTTACGGCTTAGCTCTAGGGGTGTCCAACCTGGCAGATAGTTTTGGTTTTATTAGAAATCTCTCCTTTGAGATTTCTGCCTCAATCCACAATACAACAGGGGGTTGGAATTTAATTTATGGTGCTCACAATTTTGGAAAATAGCTCGACATTTTGGGAAGTGTGTTTCAACTTCAGTCCTAATGGTTTATTGAAGCCCACTTGATAAACATAAAGAGAAAAGAGGAAAAAGCAGAAAGAGCGGAAGCAACAGAGAGAACATTATTAAGATGAGATCAGAACACACAGTCACACACAAGGCCAGCGCGTACGTTACTAGCTAACTACTACGTACATTGTGTGAAAGAGAGTGAATATAATGCGATTGTTCAGCAGCCACATATGTGTGAATAACATGCTACCAACAACATCTATACTATAAGGACCTCCTTCCTTGGTGGAAAGAAGTTCCGGTGCAAAATGATCACATTGAGACCTGTGTGTTTTCAAAAGTAAGCAGGACAATATTTCTGGAAAGACACACTAGAGCTGAATCTCAGTGAAACTTTTTACTATTTTAAGCACAAAAATATTGCGTTCACCCCCCACCGTACCCTCCAAATATCAGCAGAAAAATAAAACCAAAACTATCTCTCAGCCTAGATAAGACTGAAGGGAAGTGATTTTAAAAACGACCAGGTTGTACTCACTTGTACCCCTCGTGAAAAACATGAGAAGGTACGACAGTAAGTCAGAGTCACAGAGAATATAATTGGCATAATTGGCTGTATGTGAAACAGACGATTGTACAACGTTTCACAAACCTGTTGATAGGTACTTCTTTTATCTCTGAGCAGAAATATGAGAGTGTGTGTGAGAATGTGAGTGTGTGTGTGTGTGCACGCTCTCTGTCGGGCCCTGAAATCACATATTATTATACTATTATGGCCTATTTCTGTACGCCACTCAAATGCTCATGAACTGAGGAAAGCAGTCTAAATGGTCTTTAGTTTCTCTGAATACACACATGGGCTGGAGGCTGCCTCTGACCTTTTGCTGCTCAACATCTCTCCTCCACTGTTTCTGTCTCATCCCTCTCATTTAATCTCTCTCTCTCTCTCACCTCGGCTCTGCTGTGCAGCCTCTCTCTCTGCTTCATTACACCAAGTGCACTATTTTGTAGCTGTTTTCTCACGCAGGCGCTGCTGTGTGGGTGCAGGCGCACCCAGACACGCGCAGATATGCGTGCCATTACATGCGCATACACATATATACACACACTAATGCAGCATGACATGCCTCCCTGCTGTCATGGTGTGCTGAGCGGAGGAGAACGGCTGGGATTCAGTTAGGGTTGATGAACAGCATGAGTGCGAGAGGAAGAGAAAGAGAGGGGAAGCCAGGAAAAGAGGAGGTCGGACCAATTTTACAGTTCCTTTGTTATACCTACAGGCAGTATGGATACACAGAGGGGATTGTAAACAGGCACTTTGTACCTCTTTCAATTGAGTGATTAGTCTCATTTGCATTCAGGAGGGCAAACTCTGTTTTCTTCTTACTTTGGAATAGTTTTTCCAGGTCACCGCTGGTACCTTATAAAAATCAGAGGTGCTGTTTTAAAGTGATGCAGTCATTTTCAATTGTGTCAGGTCAGTGACTCGGGATGTCTGATCTGAGATCTGTGGATTGACAGCACAGGTTCAAAGATTTCAATAGCGGGAGGATCACCTTAGGAGAGCTACGATGTGTGTGTGATTGAGAGAGAGAGAAGAAAGAGAGAAGCAGCAGTCTCTGCAGATGGATACTGATTAAATATTGATGGTCAGCGGTGTTGAAGGCATGATTAGGACCTGACTGAGCCAAGCCTCAACAAGCACACACACACATACACACTAACAAATGACACACATGCGCACACAGGTGGAGAACCTTGCTCCAGAGTCTGAGCAGGTTTTCATTATGCCTCCCGCTGGTCAACCTGCCACCTTCTTCTCCTCACTTTTCATTCTCAGCTTCCTGCATCCTCCCTCCACTTCCTCCTGTCACACAGGAGATCGCACACAGGAAACGTGCAATACGAATCATATGTGCATTCATCCTACTTTTGCACTTTGTCCTAGATGACATTCTCCTCTTAAAGTGATATATTCCAACAAGATGTTTTTTCTAGTTGTGGTATTAAACACTTTTTAGGCTGGAAAATTGTTGTAAAATGCTTGTAGAAAGGGTTGTTTCATCTAAATGACAGAAACACGTTTTCTCACTTTCACTGTCACTGTCACTGACTTATTATGTCATCCAGCCATGGAGATAGTTTTAGTTTTATGTCCCCAGGTTTTGAGATATCAATCTCCAGAACTAATGTCTGGATAATCCACAGACTGTGTTGTCAGCAGTTTTTAAAGGGACTATTTCTTCAGTGGAGTTGTATGAGAAGTGTTCAGAGAAAAGGAATTTCCGGAGTAAATGGGACAAGATAGAAGTTACAGCTCAATTTGTTTACCTGCATTTTTCTTTCATTCTTTGAGCACCACAAACGGGATTCAATTTCCCTCCACTGTGTTTGGCTGGCAGCAATCCCAGAGAGTTATACGTTTAAAAAAAAAAAAAAAAGGCTGTATACATAAGGCAGGTAAGAAAATGTGTTTTTTGAAAATTGGGTGAATTGGCCCTTTGAAAGAAAACATGGATCGGAGTGATCTTGGATTCAAAGTGTTCACAATGGATTTCAATTGTGACTCTATTTTGGAGAAATGTGAAATGTTAACAAAAACCTCTCAAATCCCTCTCCTGCTCTGAAATCCGGTTCCAGCCAATGACTGGGCTTGGATAAAATGGTTCTGACCATCATAACAGCTTGAGGTGCACAGTCCAACACATGTGTCTGCTCGTGGGCCTGGCAGGGTGATGAGAATGAGACAAAAGCATTATTCTCACAAAAAAAAAAACATATCAGATGTTTTATTCATCCCGAAGACATGCCAATATCGAAATCCATTTTACCCACTTTTAATACGTACAACTTGAACACAGTCTCCTTTCTCCCTCAACAACACAACCCTCAAAACAAACATTTTTCAGGCCTATGGAGCTCGAGAGGTTGATACTCAAAAGAGAGAGCGGTATTGGGTGGAGAAAATGTAAATGTAACTGTAAAATATACTCTTGCCTTAGTGTCTTGATGCCGTTTCACTGACTGACTTTGTGTCCCCTTGAACCATAGCAGCTGCAGCACAACCACAGTAATGTTAAAGTTGAAATTGTAGGCTTACCACTGCTTGTGATGCCACTGCTATTGTACTGCAGCACAACAAAAGACACCTTTGTATAAAACATGAAAACATCTCGGAGTCTCTTTTATATGGATGGCAGAGGGAGGTTTACAACATGATGTTATGAGATGCATTCAATTTCCTCACACTGCATATCATAAACATTATCGTGACTTTAAGGAAACGGAGACTGAGAAATGAAACGTGACTCGCAGTCTCTTCAGTATGTGTAAGTTGACGTTTTTGTTCTCTGTGTTCTTGCAGTTACGTTGCTGGACTCCATGTCAGCTCTGGCCGACCTGGGCTGGGAGGCTTACCCTAATGAGGGGGTGAGTATATGCAGCACGCACACGCACACTAACACACACACACACACACACACACACACACACACACACACACACACACACACACACACACACACACACACACACAGAAAAACAAACAAAAAACATCCTCTCTTTATGCCGGAGCTGGCAGCAAAAGTATAAATCTGATCACAACTAGCAGGTCATGTTGACATGTTTTATTTTCAGGGAACAGGCAGGGACTCAGAGCTAGCAGCAGCACTGGAGCGTGTGTTTTAGAGAGCACTGGGTTCTTGAGCGCTCCTTGCTAAATCGGGAGTCTGCAGGGGGAATTTACAAATTATTTCTGCTGCGCTGAAAACGCTGTGGCACTGGAGCCTCCATTTCTTACGGGTTGTGATTTTTTTGGGTGATGGAGTGAAGGGACAGTGTGGAGGGGTAAATATTCTTACGTAAGAGGACACTGGTGTGTACATGTTGGTGTCGTTTCCATGTATGCGGGGGTTACGCAACTAGCCTTTTACATGTATAGGGACCAGGGGAGTCTGGAGTGCAGCCAGCACGAATCAGGAAATGACAACAGAGAAGTGAGAGGAGAAGAAGAGGGTGAGAGCGCGGAGAGGAAGAATGACAAAGTTGATTCAATAAAGAAGTAAGAGCGGGTTCTGTACGTCACTCTAGCAGTAGAGCTGTTGAATGGCGCTGAATTAATTCTATTTCCCCTTGAGTCACGCACTTCCTCTCCACCATTCAGCATCGGTGTGTTAAATTGCAGGATGCCACACGCGGTTTCATGGTTGTGCGCAGCAGACAAGAGGCAGCTGAAGTGAGCAGCGCTAAGCAAGGTTGTTTTCTCAAGCAATCAAGGGTATCAGGTTCACATATTTGAAATGCTCCGATTGTGTGGCCATATTGTGGATGTTTGTGTATGTTCGTTTTGTCTCCACTGAGGTCCTTATAGAAAAGCAGAATGTGTTCCATCTGTGGCTAAGCCAAACGGTTCAATCTAATTTTGAAAACCAGAGTACACAAGTTAGTCTTATTGAAAATATGGTTCAGTTTGGGGTGGCTTAATCATGGCCCGGAAAAGCACATGTGTTGTTAGTTTGCCCTCAAACAAATGTGTTGGCTAGAAAGTTAAATATATACAATAAACTCCATCATGTATATCTTTTTTCATGAACTGTCAGCATAGTGGGGATCTGGCGTCTCCTCCCTGAGTATGTACAGAAACTGAGAGGAGACTGGCTCTATGGGCCTCCACACAACTCCTCTGTTAAATAAACACTACAACTACTACTACAACTGAGACATTATAAAAAGAAAAGCATTTTGTTTTGTTTTAGTGCTTTTTGCTTGCAGGTTTTATCAGCTGCTTTATCTGACAAAGGAAATTACTAAATTGGTTAAAGCTGGTAAAGTCTTTGCTCTGGTGGTTGTTCTCATTCTCTCCGTGTACATGAAGCCGATGTTATCGTCCTCCTAGATAAACATGATCCTCCCTCTTTGTTCTACTATCCACTGTCAGATAGAAAGACAAACTCAAAAGGCTAAATTGTATGAAATAAGCAGCTGCTTCTTAAAAAAAAAAAAGCCCACACAGTTTTCAGTTTTCAGTTAGCTATAATAGTTATGTTTATCATAAACAGCTAGAAGGCAAACAGGCTTAAAGCAACACAAAGCAAGTGCAGCTGAAGCAGCATAAACAAACAGGAAGAGACGAAGTGAGAGCAAGGCAAGGAGATTGTGTTATATGCGCCCATCTTTAAACATCACTGCAACTTTTTATAGTGCCACTTTAATTGTGACATCATTCCTATAAAAATTGAACGCACGGAATCAATATTGTTCGAAGCCTCTGTCTCACATCGGTGTTTCCCTCAAAACTCAACACCATCCCAGTTTTTAATTCTTCATTTGAAACACAGGTGCTGTATCAAACAAACACATTTAAGAATACATTTTAGGAGCATAAAAGCCTATGCAGTGTCATGTTAATGCTTTATATCTGTTGTCCATGAAGCTCTCATGATTTGAGCTAGGCGAGGTACGTTGTCATCTGCACACATTCCTGTCTGCTGACTCGTCACTGACACACACTGTATCTTCTGGGCTAAACAAATTCTTATTGTGTTTACATGGGCATAAAGTCCAGTTTAATCACAGAGCTACGCCAGGTCATCCACACTTCCCCTGTGTCCTCATGCAGAGGATAGCTGCATACTCTTATTGTGAAGCACCTACAGGAAATCTAATGTGTTTTGTGTCACCAAGGTTGCTGAGCTTTTATTTTTGCTCTTCTTCATTAAAAACAGAGCAAAGCAACAGGATGCTGTTTGCTCAGTAGATCAGTTTTAAATACTGCACCGAGAAAAAAAGCAGAAACAGGGAGCCGTTACATCAGGGGTGGCTGAGGATAACAAGCTGTTACTGTGGGCAACCTGTATCGAAAAATAAATGAATAAATAACAAAAAGCATCAGGGGCTCATTTTTACAAGATGACCCTTCTACTAGGCTTCTTGCATCATCATATAAAACCCTTGTAAATGTATCTCCTTTTGTGCCATAAAACAAGCCAGCGAATAGTTTCTAGTTAAATCTAGCTTGGTGGCATACACCATAAAAAACTGTAGAGACGAATAGAGGCTGCCAATCCTGTTGGCAACATTACTGTTTGTTTATCATAATTATATACATACTGCGTGTCTCCGATGCTCAGAAATGCTCCTTGGATCTAATGTAAAGGAGAAGAGAAGGGACAGAGAGTGATAGACAGAGGGGGAAGGTGCAAGGGCTGTGAGAAGGTCTTTATGTTTCATATCAGGGGGATTATCCAGTTGACCTTTGCACTTTAAACCTGTGGACTGGACTCAGCGAGGGGCAATTCCCACCAATGTGAGACCACTGTCTACGTGAATTAGTCAAAAACCACACTTGACCCCCGAGGGTCACGCTTAATCCAAGCCGTGCAGGGCCGGATGTGCCTGAGACTGAGCGGAGCGACCCACTTCTGTCACCGGGCAGGGGTGTTCCTCGTGAGGGACACAAAACAGATACGTCTTAATGATGTTTGAAAATGGGAGGCCCTCGCAGCATCTCGACCCCCCCCCCCCCCCCCCCCCCCCCCCCCCCCAGAGGCTCCATAACCCCCTCTTCTCTTTCTTCATCTTCCATCTGTGTTTTTTTCCTCTCCTCTCGCTCTGTGCCCCCTCCCACCCCACCGTCCTCACTAAGCCAGAGCTTGTTCCAGCGGTTGGAGGCCAATTATGTCCTCGTAGGTGTACCCATCAGATGATTGCAGAAGGGGGGATATTATGTTAAGCTGGTGAATGGTTGAACTTAAACCCCGATCCGACGTCTCTGCTTCACTTCAAAGCAATCAAGCGGGCTCCGTGCTGATTGGCCGAGGTGATTGAGGGTTCAGGGAGGAGGGTTTCATTCTGAATGTTAATTAGCGTTCAGTCTGAACCAACACAGGCAACAGTTTTCACTTAGTGTGTGTGTGTGTGTGTTTGTGTTTAGGGAGTACATTTCCCTTCTTTTGGTAGGTGTGCTCTCAAGTGGCTGGTGTATCATTTGCAAACATGGAGGCGAGCAGGTTGTTTTCATGATCATAAACACACCTGTGCGTTACACCAGCTAAAAGTGACAATGAACAGACTCGCCATCAAGGGAAATAAGTCACTCACCAGGAAGTGGCAGTAATCCAGCCACTCCAAACTCTGCCTACAAAGAAATAAACAAAGACATCATAAAGCCCTCTTTATCCCTCAATGACTATTCCCATAAATGCTTTAATCACCACTCCCTGGGGACTCAGCTTTGTGTGTGTGTATGTGTGTGTGTGGGTGTGTGCAACCGTCCTGTGATGTCCGACTGGTCCCAGCTCTGCACAGATGGGTCTATTTAGCTGCCAGGCGAGCCTGTAATTTACCAACATTCATTCATCTCTCTCCTCTTTTCTCTCTCTTTCTCCCTCCGTCTGGTGTTTTGTTCTTTTAATTGAATCGAGTGCGGTTGATCACAATGACTCGAAGTTATTGTGCGCGTACAATGTCAAGCGAGACTCCAGTGATACATCCCCTTATATGTAATCTTCAAACTCTGAAGTGGCTATCAGGGACATTTGTGTCAGCTGACTGCAGCAGCTTTAACAGTCTCCTGCCTCTTCTCCTTCTTTTCTCGGTTTCTGTAGTAGAGTGACTGTTGGAGAGTAAGGAATCAAGAGAGAGCTGGTTTTGTTCCAATTCATACACAGTAGACGTTTCAGTGGAGGCTGTGGAGATTAAAAGCATCTGAGTGTGTGAGAGAGCCAGTGAAAGTGCGCGTGAGTCTATGTGAGAATGTGTGGGGTTTTCTTTTTTTATGTGGATCTGTTTTAGTGCTCAGGACTTGGAGGTGAACTGCGTCAAGCTTTTGCCGGGTTGTTGGGCCGTCACATCAGATTAACCTCAAGAATCCAACCTTAGCTTGGACTTGTCTGAAAATCTCTTTGCCTTTTTTTTTGCTGCTTTCTTAGCATTTTATTAGCCTGTCTTCTCTCTTTTCTTTATCTCTCTTTATTTCTTTCTCTTTGCTTCTTGCTTCACCTACAATTCCGGTTTCATTTGAATTTTAGGACACATTAGGGATGACAGGTAGTTACTTCTGTGGGTCTTCTGTGTGTGTGTGTGTGTGTGTGTGTGTGTACTTCAGTGCAAGTGTGTATACACATGCGTGTATACAGTATGTGTTCATACCATGCTTTATGTGTTTACATGGTTGGACGACTGTAAGGTGATATGTGTTCATCACTCGGGAGCTTAAAGCTTCAGTATTAAGATGATGACAGGAGCTCAGAACAAAGATGGTGGTCCTCTCATCCCTCACCACAAACTAGGACTCATCCAGTTTGTGTGTGTGTGTGTGTGTGTGTTTTCATGAAAATCCAGTTAGCTTCCCCTTGAATGGATCAGATATCTTGAGACTCTGAGACCGCATTGGTTTATTTTCCGTTTCTTTAAGGAATAGACATGTTCTTTCTCTTATGTGTGTGTATGTGTGTGTGTGTGCGTGTGCAGATAGAAATGTTTTCCTGCTCATGCGAGAAGTGTTCTCAATTACTGCCTTAGTCAGAAGTGGAAACAGATGGTAGCAGATGACGGGAGACAAAGTAGCTCTGTCCTACCTACTCCTTGCTCTCTCTCTCTCGCTCCCTCTCTCTCACTCCGTTTCTCTCTCTCTCTCATACACACACACACACACACACACTCTTAAGAGCTAAATCACCCATTCACTTAAGAAAAACACGCACACTCTGTGCACACGTGCAACACAGACAAAGACAGTCCTTCAGTCATCTTGACACAGATCATCACTCATATTCATCCAGACATGAAAACAGAACACGCAGGCTTAGGCGTTGGTTTTCACTAAACCACAGTTCATTGAACTCGGGCCCAGTTTCCCATAAGCAATATTTGGACTGAGATCTCCTTTGTCCATTGACTACTGATGGAATAGGATGATCTTGCAGCTGAGTGGTGCTGAATGTCACTCAACCCCGGTCGCACGTCCACTTGGACTTTGAATTGAAATTTACGCCCTCCTTCGCCTCTTTACCCTCCTTTATATCACTTTCTTTCACACCTCTTTGGCATGTTTATTGCTATTTTCTTTCATCTTTCCTTCTCTCTTTCCTCACTTCTTCCTTCCTTACCCCTCTTCCAGCATCCTCTGCTTATCCTCTCCATCTTTCTCCCTGCTTTCCACCTCTTTCCTTTTCTTCATCCCACTTCTTTCTCTTGCCCTTCATCACAAAATGGCATCTGATAAAGGTGGAATAAATGTGGAACAATCATATTTAATGAAGATACTGTATCTTTCTAATCTAATAGACCAACTTTGCTCCCCCCCCTCCCTTTCCTCTGTCCACCTCTCATCCTCAGTGGGAGGAGATCAGTGTGATGGATGAGAGGAACACCCCGATGAGGACCTACCAGGTGTGTAACGTCATGGAGGCCAACCAGAACAACTGGCTGAGGACGCGCCACATCAGCAGAGAAGGGGCGCAGCGCGTCTACATTGAGATCAAGTTCACCCTGAGGGACTGTAATAGCCTGCCCGGGGTCCCTGGTACCTGCAAAGAGGTCTGCATCACTTAACAAACACACGCATGCAAGCTTTTTAACACATGGGCAGCATGGTGGCAGATAATGTCCTTGCAGCTGGAAGGTGTGTGTGTGTGTTTGTGTGTGTGTGTGTGTGGGTGTGTGTGTGTGTGTGTGTGTGTGTGTGTGTGTGTGTGTGTGTGTGTTTGTGAATGTTTAGGCCCTCCTGTCGCATTTCTGCTGCTTGTTTGTTCACTCTTGGTGAGCAAAGCCTTGAATTTGGACTTTAGCTCCATAGGTGTTGTGTAGCTGTCTGCTCTCTGAATTCCTTTTGGAGGGAAACAAGTAAAAAGACACATTTCTTCTTTTTTTTTAGATCAGTGGCACAGGAGTAAGTCTGATATGAATCATGGTGGAGGCAGAAATTGTTTGGAGTCTGTGGTCTGTCTGAAAAAAAAATTCTGAAATCCTAAACGTATTCTCTGACTCCGCTGTGCTCTTAGTCTTTTGAATAAAATTGAGTTAACTAACTAACATAAGGAGTGTTTTCTTTCACTTCTCAAATATGTAATTTAGTCGATACATATTGCATTTGTCATGAAAATGTTAGAGTAAATGCAACACGAATGAAAAACATTCACAAATTAGAACCATTTCACCTTACAGCGCTCGCGATGGCAGCTGAGTTTAGGGGCGCTTTGCTATTCAGCTAAATCAGCAAATTAACTTTAATGACAAATCTCTGCCTTTTCAATTAAACCTGCCTGATCTTCATGTTTGAGCTGATGCTGTATTGTTTGCTTTCACTGCAGCAGACGCTCATGACAGAAATATGAAAAGAAAGAAAGAAGTGGAAACATATTTCTTCTCTCTTAACAAGGTTGACTAGAAGTTAATTTTTTGTTTGTGAAGAGCCTGAAGCCACAAGTACTTGAGCATCAAACCTGCGATGAGGAAGGAATTTTGTGCCCATATTTCACAGAATATGGGTGATTTCACAGCATTCTGCTGTTTACATTTATGGGCACATACATATTAATGTACTGTAAGGCCTGACAAAAGGTGGTAGTTTTGTTTGTACTGTAATTATTGCTTTCTATGTAATCAGAGCTTATTATGCACATCATACGACACAACAAAGCAGGAAAAGGGCATTTCAAATAAACATACACATACACACAGACTGACGCACACTTTGATGGCTGATGAATAAATAGACAAGAGGCGAGAAAAGACTGACATGAGCGAATCGCTGCAGAATGAAACAGATGATGCTCCAGAGGCCTCTTTTGTGGCTGCTTGTATATTTTAACTATATACTGTATATATATTTTTTATTCTTTTTTTTACAGTCCCCTATTCTCTCATATCAGCCAGATATCACTGCTCCTCTGTATTCATTTCTCTCTGCTTTGTATGCCCCCTGCACCCTCTTCACTCTCATTACATCTCCAGAATGACTAGTGAAGATAATATGAGTCAGTACAGAGCTGCGCTTTCATGAAACTGCAGACAGTGCTGCCGACTGACCATCGAGTCAGAGGGACTTGAGATTTGAAGTGAAGCAGGAGAATAGCTAGAGGACGGACTTTCTGACTTTTATCTGTCTCTTCACTGTGTGTTATTCTGCCTTGTGTGATCACTTACATTTCTAGAGTTTGAACGGTGATGGATGTTGTTTTTTTTTTTTGTTGTTTTTTTTTGCAGACATTCAACATGTACTACTATGAGTCCAACAATGCCAACCTGTGGTTCATCAAGGAAAGCCAATATGTCAAGATTGATACTATTGCTGCAGATGAGAGCTTTACACAGGTATGGGCGCCCATTAAACTCCATCTGTGTGTACGTGGCCATATGATCCTCATGCTCATATAAAAGAGCTGCATTCCAAAATAAGATATTCATCATTTGCCACATACCCTTTGAAAATGAATCGGGATTTGAATGTGGGTTGTATTTTAAACTTAATCATCATCATTCCATTTGCTTGCAAAATTTGTCAGGATTTTGAGGACATAATTATTTCTATCTTGGAAATGCAGTTGCTGAGTTTCTGGCAATGTTTTACCTAAATAAAATAGCAACCTTTTAGACTGGAAAAAAAAAATGCTCCGATTGAATGCTCACATGTAAAAGAAGTAAGACATGTAAAATGTCCTTTGTCCACAGGTGGACGTCGGTGACCGCGTCATGAAGTTAAACACGGAGGTGCGTGACATCAGCAACCTGAGTAAAAAGGGTTTTTACCTGGCCTTCCAGGACCTGGGCGCCTGTATCGCTCTGGTCTCTGTCAGGGTCTTCTACAAGAAGTGCCCCCTCACTGTGCTCAACTTGGCCCAGTTCCCCGACACAATAACAGGCGGAGACACTGCGCTGGTGGAGGTCCACGGTGTGTGTGTGAATGCCTCCGAGGAGTTCGAGGCTCCCAAGATGTACTGCAGTGCAGATGGAGGTTGGCTGGTTCCCATCGGGAGATGTGTGTGCAAACCGGGCTTCGAGGAGAACAAGGACGTCTGCCAGCGTGAGTGGGGCAGTGGGGGGGGGGTCCCCGGGGGCATGTGTGGGATGTATTTGTAAGTGTGGGAATGTGTGTGTTTGTGTGTGTTGTGAGCAAGACAGAGAGACAGAGAAGGACAAATTTAGAGCATGAGATAGAAAACAGTGCACGGTGTCGTGATGTAGTTGCTTTAATGCTTCTGTATATACAAAGCAAATTTATTATTGCACAATTTACCCCTGAGTGAATGTTTTATAGTGTGTGTATAGTGTACGAACAGGCCTGATCAAGGTTGGCCTTCTGATATTATATGTGTGTGTGTGACTCCTCAACAGCTCACACAAGTGCACTTACAAACAAAGCACAGCAATCATCTCCATCCGGCTCACGATGTAAATAAGTGGCGTGTGCGTGTGCGTGCGCACCTGTATGTCTTCGTGGAGACGTTTCATCACTCATATATGAGTTTTGTTGTGAAACTGAGGATGGAAAGACAACGACTGTGTATTTAGGTTACTGACTGCACTGTCTTTGTGTGACTGTGTGTGTCAGCACGGGTGTCATAACTCTGAGTGACTTTTATACAGCTCCCAGCTCTGTGAGGACAGTTCTCACACAGGAAAGGGTAGGAGTTGCTTTAAGGCATATCCTCTTTTTCTTTTCTTTTTTTCAAGGATGTGCATGTGTCTGTGTGTGTGTGTGTGTGTGTGTGTGTGTGTGTGTATTTGTCAGAGCCGAATATCTCATTTTCCCTGCTGAGTAGAGGAGAGCGGTAAGAGAGAGTGTATGTGTGTGTGTGTGTCTGTGTGTGTGAGAGAGAGAAAGTGCTTATTGATGTGTGTTTGTGTTGTAGGAGGAGAGGGAAAGGTATGCCTTAGGAAGCAGATTATTGAGTCGTAAAACTCCACAGATGGTGTGTGTGTGTGTGTGCAGTATGTGTGTGTATATACTGTGTGTGTGTACATGCATTTGAGTGAGCAAGCTGTATTAGACTCACGCCGTCACCTGTCCCCACGGGCTCACTTCCTCCCCGAAAAAAAAAAAAAAAAAGGGAAAATGGAATCATAGATATTCATCGCTGCAAACTTGGAATCGGTGCACATAATGCATTTTCAGTTGTTTTGGAGAAGCAGCCGCCAAGACACCGAGAAAACTTGGCAGCTGGGCCTTAGAGACAAGTGAATAAGAACAAGCTGTACTGTGTAGTTTGCAGACTGGTAATGTGCACAGATTGTGGCAGAACTCCGGCTGCATCTCAATCATCAAACACCGACTGTTGAGCTACATGTCTGTCTTGTAAAGTGACACGCCGCAGTTATTTGAGAGGTGAGCTCACTGACAGCTTATCAAATGATTTCACTACCTACAGTGTGCAGGTCCATGTCACATTCCCTGTACTGAAGCTGTATTTGAAGTCAGTCTGACGCAGCAAAGCGGTTGACCTCGGTGATCTCCATGACCTCATCAGTCTGCTCCCTCGGTCTCATCACTCCGCAGAGAATAAATAGAGCAGCGTAAGCGCATTTAACAAGCTCGCTTTAACTCAATAACACCATGCGCGCGTGTGTGTGTGTGCGTGCGCGCGCTGTAGTTGTGTGCAGAAGTCATGATGAAGTCTTATTGGCAGTCTGAGGTCAGAGGTCAGGGAATATATGTGTCCCTCGTCTGATAAGTTACGGGCACTACAGATGAGGCACGCGTGGAGAACTGGTGTCCATTGTCTTCAACACAGGAAGGAAATTCAGGATTTCGGTTTCAGTTCTTTTCATGGCAGATTTTCTGGTGTGGCAATTATTCTGGAAACAATCAAAAAGCATTTTTCAATAGATTTTAATCCCTTCGTGGTGAATTGAAGCTTCTCCGCCGCAGGGTTGTCTGCGCCACCTACTCGGTATTAGGAAAAACATTTTTGTGGGATCTTGGGGGGGGATTTGCATACCAATGAGCTGGAGAATTTGCTGTCCCACGTATGTCAGCCTAACACATCTCATACTTGTTTGTTGCCTATGAAATAATGCCAAATTGACACCCAGGAAACCAGCTTTCTTTTGTTAAAACTGCTTTGATGCCTGTGCCGTTTCTCCTGCGCGTGCCTGTGTTCTGATGCTGTTCCCTTCCCTCGTCAAAATTTCACTTATGCCTACTAATGTAACTGCATCTGTAATCAGGCTGCTTTTAACAAAGACATGAGAGGACACAGAGAAGTACAACAAGCCAGTGTGTTGCACTTTAATGTGTCCCAGAGAGAACAAGGGCCAGGCTTTTAAAGAGTCCTCTCAGTGCTCAGCGTCAGCTCCAAACAAAAGGTTCCTGCCCTGACACAGTCTGAGGGTCTTCCATAGGGAAAACACACTCGGCTAATGCATTTAAATCACCCTCTCTCATTTGCTGTCACACAAAGAGATGAGGGGGTGAGGTGGGGGAGAGAGCTGAGAAAAGGAGCAGGAGGGCATTTGTAATTATCACCAGCGAGCAGGTGAACAGGTCTTTTAGCGGACGGGCGCCTTGAATTCTCTTCCTCTTGTTCTTTTTGTGTGTCTGCCTGTTTTGGTCTTTTCTACCATTTAGCTGCTCTGATGCTCATTGTTTTCCTGCTCTAATGTTCCGTGTGAGTCTTCTCACAGTGTTTTGGCCTCTCCCGCCTCCTCTTTTTGTCTCTGTTTCACTCTCCTTCTCCATCTGACTCCCATTCTCTCTCTCTCTCTCTCTCTCTCTCTGTCCCTGTCTCTCTCTCTTTCCCTCTCGGTGTGTGAGGCGCTAATGGAATCATTACTAGCCTCTCTGTGTTAGACAAACACCAGACACCACCAATTACAGCCATTTTTTTTTTCTCAATCTCTGGCTCCTCGCTGCTATTTTCTAACCTTGCTCTGCTGTCTGCTTCTATAATGGGACAGGTCTCCTCCTCTCTCCCTCTACAAGCCTCCCAATTTTGCTCCTCACCCATCTTTTCTGATATTGTCTTCCTTTTTCACCTCACCATTTTTCCTTCTGTCTCCCTCCTCCTCCTCCTCCTCCTCCTCCTCTTCCTCCTCGCAGCGCCCATCTCCTCTGTCTGTTCTCGTTAAACATTTATAGATCACGGGTTCATCTTTCTCTTTTTCTATTTTCCCACCCCATGCATGCTTCCTATTCCCTAAAGTGAGGCGTGTTTAGTGTGTTTATATGTGTGTATATGATTTGATGGTGTTAATGTCACTGGTTTAGATTCAACCTGCTGGATTGTTTTATGACAAACAGGGTTGTCGCTCACACGGACAGAAGCAGAGACTATGTGATTGGAGAAAGTGAGATTCATGGGAAATGAGGTCTTAATTTTGAGACAAAACCAGTAGCTTGCGACAATGATGTCACATTGACATTATGTTGTTGTTGAAAAAAAATACCCAGATCTGACTGGAGAATCCATGTCAATCCAAATGGAAGTTGGAGGAACCTTTACCCTACCTTTACCCGTTTGCCTGTAATTTACAGCTACACAAAGAGGCACATTCCACGTGTTCAGGTGGCCTGCTGTGCACTGACTAACACGCTCTTTAGGTTACAATGGCAAGTAATTGGAATGAAATGGAAAAATGGAAGTGTACTGAATTAACACTGTGCTCTTACTGTGCTTTATATAATAACTAAAATTGCATGAACTTTTCCTTTGAAATATCACAACGTACCAGCATGTTTCTAGAAAATTATGCCTGAAAAATAAATGCTGTAATTTGCTAAAAGAACTTTAGCGTTTAACAGACATTACACAAACAGGAAGGCACTTGTTGGGGACGATTTTTAGCAGCGGATTAATACACATTCAGTTCGCTTGTGAGTTTTTAACACAGTAGGACGATGTATGTCGGAGGAATTTAAATAAACTGTTCACTTATCATAACTGAGGAATATGGCAGTCAACAGTGTGGCTCACTGACGTGTTTCTGATAGTTTCTGGAGTCTGTACTTGTTTGTTGGATCAACACGTCACCGGTTTCAGTCTTGTCATGGAATCTGTTGACGGTAAGAAAAATATAGCCAGCCCTAACCTTTAATGTTACGTAACGCTGCAACTGTGAAACACATATTGGTTCTTTTTCGTTTGTGTTGTTTTCTCCACCTTTGGGTTTCATCTGCGCTGAGGCGTGCACTAAACACAACGATGGCCATGGCTCTGCCGCTCAATCACATGAAATCTTACTCATCTGCTTTGTCACCACTGGAGTTGCATAATCTCTCTCTCTCTCTCTCTCTATCTCTCTCTCTCTCTCTCTCTCTCTCTCACTCACTCACTTATTCGAACACATACTCTCTCTGCCTCTCTCTGTCACATACATTTGCAGACCCTTGTCACTTCTCCTCCATCTCTCTCTACCCCATGCAGAGGCCTCTGTCTGTAAAGCTGAAAGCCCCCCGCCTCGTTCGCTCTCCTGCCTTCTCTCCTCTCTGTGTCTTTGTCTCTTGTGCATTCTGTTTCTGTTCTCCCTCTCTGTTTCTGTCTGCCACTGTTCCCTCTGCACCCTCCATTTCCACCTCGTACTCCCTTGCCCTCTCCTGCTGTCTCTCTGTCTCACAGCTGGCAGAGGATGTAGTGAATATTCCTCTCAAAACCTCTCCTGCTTTAAGCCCTAGGGGTACACGCTGAAGGGCAGGAGTGTGTGTGTCGGCGTGTATGTGTGTGTGTGCGTGTGTGTTGCAGTGACTAAGTATGTGTTTGTGTGTGTGTTCTGTCCTTCTCTGTGTGTCTGACAGCACCAATTACTGCCTCAGATGCCTGAGAGATGGAGGAGACGGAGTGGAGAAGGACAGATACCTGTCACCTCAACACAAGTTCTCTTGCTCTCATCTCTCTCTCCTCCTCAGCGGGCAAAAGTAATATAGGTCAGCATGACATGTCTGTCCGTCGGCCAGCTCTACCTGTCTAATGGTCTCCTTCTTCCCTTTTCTTATTCATTTGTCTGTTTGATGCTGCCAGTATGGAGCAAAAACTTGTTTTACAAGAGGAATTTTCAAAAGTCACACCACACTCCTCATGCTGATTCGAC